CACCCCACACTACACCCCACCCTAAACTACACCCCCACCCTAAACTACACCCCCATCCTAAACTACACCCCCACCCCACACTACACCCCCACCCTAAACTACACCTCCACCCTACACTACACCTCCACCATACACTACACCCCCACCCTAAACTACACCCCCACCCTAAACTACACCCCCATCCTAAACTACACCCCCACCCCACACTACACACCCACCCCACACTACACCCCCACCCTAAACTACACCCCCACCTCACACTACACCCCACCCTAAACTACACCCCCACCCTAAACTACACCCCCACCTCACACTACACCCCCACCCTACACTACACCCCCACCCTAAACTACACCCCCACCCTAAACTACACCCCTACCCTAAACTACACCCCCACCTCACACTACACCTCCACCCTAAACTACACCCTCACCCCACACTACACCCCACCCTAAACTACACCCTCACCTCACACTACACCTCCACCCTAAACTACACCCTCACCCCACACTACACCCCACCCTAAACTACACCCCCACCTCACACTACACCTCCACCCTAAACTACACCCTCACCCCACACTACACCCCACCCTAAACTACACCCCCACCTCACACTACACCCCCACCCTAAACTACACCCCCACCTCACACTACACCTCCACCCTAAACTACACCCTCACCCCACACTACACCCCACCCTAAACTACACCCCCACCTCACACTACACCTCCACCCTAAACTACACCCTCACCCCACACTACACCCCACCCTAAACTACACCCCCACCTCACACTACACCCCCACCCTAAACTACACCCCCACCTCACACTACACCTCCACCCTAAACTACACCCCCACCTCACACTACACCCCCACCCTACACTACACCCCCACCTCACACTACACCTCCACCCTAAACTACACCCCCACCTCACACTACACCCCCACCCTACACTACACCCCCACCTCACACTACACCCCCACCCTAAACTACACCCCCACCCTACACTACACCCCCACCCTAAACTACACCCCCACCTCACACTACACCTCCAACCTACACTACACCCCCACCTCACACTACACCCCCACCCTAAACTACACCCCCACCTCACACTACACCTCCAACCTACACTACACCCCCATCCTAAACTACACCCCCACCCCACACTACACCACCACCCTACACTACACCACCACCCTGCACTGCACCCCACCCTAAACTACACCCCCACCTCACACTACACCTCCAACCTACACTACACCCCCATCCTAAACTACACCCCCACCCCACACTACACCACCACCCTACACTACACCACCACCCTGCACTGCACCCCACCCTACACTACACCCCCATCCTAAACTACACCCCCACCCTACACTACACCACCACCCTACACTACACCACCACCCTGCACTGCACCCCACCCTACACTACATCCCCACTCTATATCACCCCTACTTAACACCCCCTACACTAGTACTCCACCACTGCCCTGCCGTAAACTGTAACAGTAACATGATACACAAGTTTGGTTTATTGCTTTTATTTATCTTCCCCTTCAACTCTAAGCCAAACCGTATTGTACACGGAGCAGTGGGTTAATCGTATAGTTGTGTAGGGCTTCTTGTTATGTGGGTGTAGCGTCTTATGTTGGTGTAGCGTCTAGTTGTGTGGGGGTAGCGTCTAGTTGTGTGGGTCTAGCGTCTAGTTGTGTGGGGGTAGCGTCTAGTTGTGTGGGTCTAGCGTCTAGTTGTGTGGGTGTAGCGTCTAGTTGTGTGGGTGTAGCGTCTAGTTGTGTGGATGTAGCGTCTAGTTGTGTGGGGTAGCTTCTAGTTGTGTGGGGGTAGCGTCTAGTTGTGTGGGTCTAGCGTCTAGTTGTGTGGGTCTAGCGTCTAGTTGTGTGGGTCTAGCGTCTAGTTGTGTGGGGGTAGCGTCTAGTTGTGTGGGTGTATCGTTTGGTTGTGTGGGTGTATCGTCTAGTTGTGTGGGTCTAGCGTCTAGTTGTTTGGGTCTAGCGTCTAGTTGTGTGGGGTATTGTCTAGTTATGTAGGTGTAGCGTCTAGTTGTGTGGGTCTAGCGTCTAGTTGTGTGGGTGTAGCGTCTAGTTGTATGGGGTATTGTCTAGTTGTGTGGGTGTAGCGTCTAGTTGTGTGGCGTATCGTTTGGTTGTGTGAGTGTAGCGTCTAGTTGTGTGGGGTATCGTTTGGTTGTGTGGGTGTAGCGTCTAGTTGTGTGGGGTATTGTCTAGTTATGTAGGTGTAGCGTCTAGTTGTGTGGGTCTAGCGTCTAGTTGTGTGGTGTATTGTTTGGTTGTGTGGGTCTAGCGTCTAGTTGTGTGGGTCTAGCGTCTAGTTGTGTGGGGTATTGTCTAGTTGTGTGGGTCTAGCGTCTAGTGGTGTGGGTCTAGCGTCTAGTTGTGTGGGGTATTGTCTAGTTATGTAGGTGTAGCGTCTAGTTGTGTGGGTCTAGCGTCTAGTTGTGTGGTGTATTGTTTGGTTGTGTGGGTCTAGCGTCTACATGTGTGGGTCTAGCGTCTAGTTGTGTGGGGTATTGTCTAGTTGTGTAGGTGTAGCGTCTAGTGGTGTGGGTCTAGCGTCTAGTTGTGTGGGGTATTGTCTAGTTATGTAGGTGTAGCGTCTAGTTGTGTGGGTCTAGCGTCTAGTTGTGTGGTGTATTGTTTGGTTGTGTGGGTCTAGCGTCTACATGTGTGGGTCTAGCGTCTAGTTGTGTGGGTCTAGCGTCTAGTTGTGTGGTGTATTGTTTGGTTGTGTGGGTCTAGCGTCTACATGTGTGGGTCTAGCGTCTAGTTGTGTGGGTCTAGCGTCTAGTTGTGTGGGTCTAGCGTCTAGTTGTGTGGGGTATTGTCTAGTTGTGTGGGTCTAGCGTCTAGTTGTGTGGGTGTAGCGTCTAGTTGTGTGGGGTATTGTCTAGTTGTGTAGGTGTAGCGTCTAGTTGTGTGGGTGTAGCGTCTAGTTGTGTGGTGTATCGTTTGGTTGTGTGGGTGTAGCGTCTAGTTGTGTGGGTGTAGCGTCTAGTTGTGTGGGTGTAGCGTCTAGTTGTGTGGGTGTAGCGTCTAGTTGTGCCGAGAGCACCCCCTGTGAGTATAGCGACCAACATTGAGTGGACGTGAAACCTCTCTCCCAGTGAGGAAGACATGATTAGACAGTTCCTTCCCTTTAATCTTCTACCCATTTTTCTTTTATTTCCCCGCTCGGTTATGTCCCTTTAAATACCGCCAAACTCGAGTGGTTCCTACAGGATATCCGAGATTTATTTCCCCTGAATTCGTTAGCTCTCCCTCGATTTGCATTCAGACTCGTCCCCGTGCTTTTAAAAGCTCGCCTCTAATCAAACATTAGAGACTCATTGATTAGCTGCAGCTAATTGCTGGACACCACTAGTGCTTGCTTAACAAGCCTGCTCGATAAACTCGACGTTTCTAGAAGGTGGTCGTGGGGGGGGGGGGGGGGGGGGGGTGGACGCGACAGAGAACAGAACTGTCCAGTCCATGTAGTTCTATTCAAGATGATTGTAACAAAAAGTCCGTCCCAACTGCTGATATGCACGGAACTTGTTGATACATTTGTATTAACTATTCAGAAAGTAGCCCACAAATCAACATTAGTTCAACTTAATGTAAACACAAATCAACATACGATTAGTTCAACTTAATGTAAACACAAATCAACATACGATTAGTTAAACTTAATGTAAACACAAATCAACATACGATTAGTTAAACTTAATGTAAACACAAATCAACATACGATTAGTTAAACTTAATGTAAACACAAATCAACATACGGTTAGTTCAACTTAATGTAAACACAAATCAGCATACGATTAGTTAAACTTAATGTAAACACAAATCAACATACGATTAGTTAAACTTAATGTAAACACAAATCAACATACGATTAGTTCAACTTAATCAACTTAATGTAAACACAAATCAGCATTCGATTAGTTCAACTTAATGTAAACACAAATCAGCATACGATTAGTTAAACTTAATGTAAACACAAATCAACATACAATAAGTTAAACTTAATGTAAACACTTAATATATTAGGTGCCTAATTTATTTTCGTTGGTTAATAGTCATAAGACATTTAACAACATTTAGTCTGAAGTATGTAGGTTTTTAGCTGGTTATACACCTAACATTGAATAGATGGGATGTTCCAACATACACGGTGTTTTTTTTTTAAATATTATTTTTGAATCAGCGTGAAATGTGAAGAAGTCATAGTTCTATACTTGCTGTCTCCAGATGATTACAACACTAGTTTAACGACACTCGGGTCATCCCGTCTGTAGTCTACCGCCTCCCCTGCCTCTCCTCCCCCCTCCCCTCCCCTCCCCCTGCCTCACCTCCCCCCCCCTGCCTCCCCTCCCCCTGCCTCCCCTCCCCCTGCCTTCCCTCCCCCTGCCTCCCCTCCCCTCCCCCTGCCTCACCTCCCCCTGCCTCCCCTCCCTCTGTCTCCCCTTCCCCTGCCTCCCCTCCCCTCCCCCTGCCTCCCCTGCCTTCCCTCCCCCTGCCTCCCCTCCCCCCTGCCTCCCCTACCCCTGCCTCCCCTCCCCCTGCCTTCCCTCCCCCTGCCTCCCCTCCCCCTCCCTCCCCTCCCCCCTGCCTCCCCTTCCCCTACCCCTGCCTCCCCTCCCCCTGCCTCCCCTCCCCCTGCCTCCCCTCCCCCCAGCCTCCCCTCCCCCTGCCTTCCCTCCCCCTGCCTCCCCTCCCCTCCCCCTGCCTCCCCTCCCCTCCCCCCTGCCTCCCCTTCCCCTACCCCTGCCTCCCCTCCCCCTGCCTCCCCTCCCCCTGCCTCCCCTCCCCCCAGCCTCCCCTCCCCCTGCCTCCCCTACCCCTGCCTCCCCTCCCCCTGCCTCCCCTCCCCCTGCCTCCCCTCCCCCCAGCCTCCCCTCCCCCTGCCTCCCCTCCCCCTGCCTCCCCTGCCTCCCCCATCTACCTAATACGTTTTCTCTTACCCCAGAGGTCTCCTGTTGGCTGGGGCCAGTGACCGTGACCCCTGGGGTGTGCGAGATGAACCGGAAGTCTTTCCTGACATGAGCAACACGGACCTGCACCAGCACCAGCAGACTGTCATCAGAGGTAAGCTCCAGACGGCTTTAGCTCCAGACGACTTTAGCTCCAGACGGCTTTAGCTCCAGACGACTTTAGCTCCAGACGGCTTTAGCTCCAGACGGCTTTAGCTCCAGACGGCTTTAGCTCCAGACGGCTTTAGCTCCAGACGACTTTAGCTCCAGACGGCTTTAGCTCCAGACGGCTTTAGCTCCAGACGACTTTAGCTCCAGACGGCTTTAGCTCCAGACGGCTTTAGCTCCAGACGGCTTTAGCTCCAGACGGCTTTAGCTCCAGACGGCTTTAGCTCCAGACGGCTTTAGCTCCAGACGGCTTTAGCTCCAGACGGCTTTAGCTCCAGACGGCTTTAGCTCCAGACGGCTTTAGCTCCAGACGACTTTAGCTCCAGACGGCTTTAGCTCCAGACGGCTTTAGCTCCAGACGGCTTTAGCTCCAGACGGATTTAGCTCCAGACGGCTTTAGCTCCAGACGGCTTTAGCTCCAGTCGGCTTTAGCTCCAGACGGCTTTAGCTCCACACGGCTTTAGCTCCAGACGGATTTAGCTCCAGTCGGCTTTAGCTCCAGACGGCTTTAGCTCCAGACGGATTTAGCTCCAGACGGATTTAGCTCCAGTAAGATTAGAGAAGAGTAAGAGTGAAGTACCAAGAGAAGAAACTGTACTTAATTTTGTACCAAGAGAGATTGTGTACTTAATTTTGTACCAAGAGAGATTGTGTACATAATTTTGTACCAAGAGAGATTGTGTACATAATTTTGTACCAAGAGAGATTGTGTACTTAATTTTGTACCAAGAGAGATTGTGTACTTAATTTTGTACCAAGAGAGATTGTGTACTTAATTTTGTACCAAGAGAGATTGTGTACTTAATTTTGTACCAAGAGAGATTGTGTACATAGTGTTCTTTGATTGCTCGCCTGCGGACACAAGTGATGTTTCGTGCTTGTCCCCTCCCCCCCACCCCCATATAAAGACAGCCCTCATCATCTGCTGCTTCTCATAAGTGTCACCGGCCCCGTCTTGCCGTCATTTAGCCGGCATCTCGGCCAGTCACGTGTGAGGGGCTCCCCGAGCCGGGCCGGACAAAAGCTCCGTCGGGCCGTGTTATTAACTAGCGCTGCTTGCCTCTCACACTTTGATTTGGCAGATGAGTGCTAGCCCGGACTGCCTTGGGATATTGTCCTTCACGCTTCTATCAAACGTGCCCGGCTCCTTTCACGCTGCCTACGCCTCTTTAACATCTTCACTGAGAAGCGCAATCGGGTCTCTCCAATTCTGTTTGAGCCGGGTGGCTGACGAGCAATCATCTCCTGCAATCAATATTCGCGTCTAGCTCAACCCTCCAAACTCCGGCCCTATTCACCCGGCCAGCGGCCTCCCAGCGATGCTAGGAGAAGTTAACTACAGTAGATAAGACTACTCAGACATCTCGAGAGTAGCGCCCCTTTCCTCAAAAAATTGGAAGCGTTTTGTCGGCCATCTGACTGTAGATGAAAATAAAGCTAATCGCCATTTCCAGATGTCACGGGCGCTGGGCCTACGTCTTCATCCATTTCACTTGACGCGATCATTACTTGACTAGATGAACCAACACTAGTATTTAGTGGTGGAGGGAGGTGACATGAAATTTTAGAGTATCCGAAAATTGTGTTTGCTCGAAGGCGATGGAAGCATGGCTAAATTAAAGGGGAGACCATATGATGGGGGGGGGGGGGTGGTGGACCAAGGGGGGTGTTACCCAACGAACAGGAAATGGTGGTAGCCACATTTTAATTAAAGGGGTGACGTCCCCTTCACGTATAGAGCTATGTATTGCAAGGGTGGGGGCGCTTTTTACAAGTCACTGTTACATAAGAGTTTTTATTTTGGTGTCACACAATAGATGTGTGAAGTCAGTCTGTCAAGTCTTTCCTTAAACCGTGTACAATTAGTATAGTCAGTCTGTGAAGTCTTTCCTTAAACCTTTACCGTGTACAATTAGTATAGTCAGTCTGTGAAGTCTTTCCTTAAACCTTTACCGTGTACAATTAGTATAGTCAGTCTGTGAAGTCTTTCCTTAAACCTTTACCGTGTACAATTAGTATAGTCAGTCTGTGAAGTCTTTCCTTAAACCTTTACCGTGTACAATTAGTATAGTCAGTCTGTGAAGTCTTTCCTTAAACCTTTACCGTCTACAATTAGTATAGTCAGTCTGTGAAGTCTTTCCTTAAACCTTTACCGTGTACAATTAGTATAGTCAGTCTGTGAAGTCTTTCCTTAAACCTTTACCGTCTACAATTAGTATAGTCAGTCTGTGAAGTCTTTCCTTAAACCTTTACCGTGTACAATTAGTATAGTCAGTCTGTGAAGTCTTTCCTTAAACCTTTACCGTGTACAATTAGTATAGTCAGTCTGTGAAGTCTTTCCTTAAACCTTTACCGTGTACAATTAGTATAGTCAGTCTGTGAAGTCTTTCCTTAAACCTTTACCGTGTACAATTAGTATAGTCAGTCTGTGAAGTCTTTCTTAAACCTTTACCGTGTACAATTAGTATAGTCAGTCTGTGAAGTCTTTCCTTAAACCTTTACCGTGTACAATTAGTATAGTCAGTCTGTGAAGTCTTTCCTTAAACCTTTACCGTGTACAATTAGTATAGCCAGTCTGTGAAGTCTTTCCTTAAACCTTTACCGTGTACAATTAGTATAGTCAGTCTGTGAAGTCTTTCCTTAAACCTTTACCGTGTACAATTAGTATAGGAGCTCAGAATGGGCTTTTGTCATACCCAGTTGGGCGCCCGGGGCGGCCAAATGAGGGAAGGGAGGGGCGGCCAAATTAAAATTACGGGAATGGTCAATTGATGGACTGAGGGGGAGGGGACTAAACATAGACCATATAAGCTAGGTGACTTAACGTAGCACGGTCGCTTACACATGACAGGGTGGTCGCTTACATAGGATGGGGTGGTCGCTTACATAGGATGGGGTGGTCGCTTACACATGACAGGGTGGTCGCTTACATAGGATGGGGTGGTCGCTTACATAGGATGGGGTGGTCGCTTACATAGGATGGGGTGGTCGCTTACATAGGATGGGGTGGTCGCTTACATAGGATGGGGTGGTCGCTTACATAGGATGGGGTGGTGGCTTACATAGGATGGGGTGGTCGCTTACATATGATGGGTGGTCGCTTACATAGGATGGGGTGGTGGCTTACATAGGATGGGGTGGTCGCTTACATATGATGGGGTGGTCGCTTACATAGAGTGGGGTGGTCGCTTACACATGACGGGGTGGTCGCTTACATAGGATGGGGTGGTCGCTTACATAGGATGGGGTGGTCGCTTACATAGGATGAGGTGGTCGCTTACATAGGATGGGGTGGTCGCTTACATAGGATGAGGTGGTCGCTTACATAGGATGGGGTGCTCGCTTACATAGGATGGGGTGGTCGCTTACATAGAATGGGGTGCTCGCTTACATAGGATGGGGGGTCGCTTACATAGGATGGGGTGGTCGCTTACATAGGATGTGGTGGTCGCTTACATAGGATGGGGTGGTCGCTTACACAAGACAGGGTGGTCGCTTACATAGGATGGGGTGGTCGCTTACATAGGATGGGGTGGTCGCTTACACAAGACAGGGTGGTCGCTTACATAGGATGGGGTGGTCGCTTACATAGGATGGGGTGGTCGCTTACATAGGATGTGGTGGTCGCTTACATAGGATGGGGTGGTCGCTTACACAAGACAGGGTGGTCGCTTACATAGGATGGGGTGGTCGCTTACATAGGATGGGGTGGTCGCTTACACAAGACAGGGTGGTCGCTTACATAGGATGGGGTGGTCGCTTACATAGGATGGGGTGGTCGCTTACATAGGATGTGGTGGTCGCTTACATAGGATGGGGTGGTCGCTTACACAAGATGGGGTGGTCGCTTACATAGGATGGGGTGGTCGCTTACATAGGATGTGGTGGTCGCTTACATAGGATGGGGTGGTCGCTTACACAAGATGGGGTGGTCGCTTACATAGGATGGGGTGGTCGCTTACATAGGATGTGGTGGTCGCTTACATAGGATGGGGTGGTCGCTTACATATGATGGGTGGTCGCTTACATAGGATGGGATTGGTGGCTTACATAGGATGGGGTGGTCGCTTACATATGATGGGGTGGTCGCTTACATAGAGTGGGGTGGTCGCTTACACATGACGGGGTGGTCGCTTACATAGGATGGGGTGGTCGCTTACATAGGATGGGGTGGTCGCTTACATAGGATGAGGTGGTCGCTTACATAGGATGGGGTGGTCGCTTACATAGGATGAGGTGGTCGCTTACATAGGATGGGGTGCTCGCTTACATAGGATGGGGTGGTCGCTTACATAGAATGGGGTGCTCGCTTACATAGGATGGGGGGTCGCTTACATAGGATGGGGTGGTCGCTTACATAGGATGGGGTGGTCGCTTACATAGGATGTGGTGGTCGCTTACATAGGATGGGGTGGTCGCTTACACAAGACAGGGTGGTCGCTTACATAGGATGGGGTGGTCGCTTACATAGGATGGGGTGGTCGCTTACACAAGACAGGGTGGTCGCTTACATAGGATGTGGTGGTCGCTTACATAGGATGGGGTGGTCGCTTACACAAGATGGGGTGGTCGCTTACATAGGATGGGGTGGTCGCTTACATAGGATGTGGTGGTCGCTTACATAGGATGGGGTGGTCGCTTACACAAGATGGGGTGGTCGCTTACATAGGATGGGGTGGTCGCTTACATAGGATGTGGTGGTCGCTTACATAGGATGGGGTGGTCGCTTACATATGATGGGTGGTCGCTTACATAGGATGGGATTGGTGGCTTACATAGGATGGGGTGGTCGCTTACATATGATGGGGTGGTCGCTTACATAGAGTGGGGTGGTCGCTTACACATGACGGGGTGGTCGCTTACATAGGATGGGGTGGTCGCTTACATAGGATGGGGTGGTCGCTTACATAGGATGAGGTGGTCGCTTACATAGGATGGGGTGGTCGCTTACATAGGATGAGGTGGTCGCTTACATAGGATGGGGTGCTCGCTTACATAGGATGGGGTGGTCGCTTACATAGAATGGGGTGCTCGCTTACATAGGATGGGGGGTCGCTTACATAGGATGGGGTGGTCGCTTACATAGGATGGGGTGGTCGCTTACATAGGATGTGGTGGTCGCTTACATAGGATGGGGTGGTCGCTTACACAAGACAGGGTGGTCGCTTACATAGGATGGGGTGGTCGCTTACATAGGATGGGGTGGTCGCTTACACAAGACAGGGTGGTCGCTTACATAGGATGGGGTGGTCGCTTACATAGGATGGGGTGGTCGCTTACATAGGATGTGGTGGTCGCTTACATAGGATGGGGTGGTCGCTTACACAAGATGGGGTGGTCGCTTACATAGGATGGGGTGGTCGCTTACATAGGATGTGGTGGTCGCTTACATAGGATGGGGTGGTCGCTTACACAAGATGGGGTGGTCGCTTACATAGGATGGGGTGGTCGCTTACATAGGATGTGGTGGTCGCTTACATAGGATGGGGTGGTCGCTTACATATGATGGGTGGTCGCTTACATAGGATGGGATTGGTGGCTTACATAGGATGGGGTGGTCGCTTACATATGATGGGGTGGTCGCTTACATAGAGTGGGGTGGTCGCTTACACATGACGGGGTGGTCGCTTACATAGGATGGGGTGGTCGCTTACATAGGATGGGGTGGTCGCTTACATAGGATGAGGTGGTCGCTTACATAGGATGGGGTGGTCGCTTACATAGGATGAGGTGGTCGCTTACATAGGATGGGGTGCTCGCTTACATAGGATGGGGTGGTCGCTTACATAGAATGGGGTGCTCGCTTACATAGGATGGGGGGTCGCTTACATAGGATGGGGTGGTCGCTTACATAGGATGGGGTGGTCGCTTACATAGGATGGGGTGGTCGCTTACATAGGATGGGGTGGTCGCTTACATAGGATGGGGTGGTCGCTTACATAGGATGGGGTGGTCGCTTACATAGGATGGGGTGGTCGCTTACATAGGATGGGGTGGTCGCTTACATAGGATGGGGTGGTCGCTTACATAGGATGGGGTGGTCGCTTACATAGGATGGGGTGGTCGCTTACATAGGATGGGGTGGTCGCTTACATAGGATGGGGTGGTCGCTTACATAGGATGGGGTGGTCGCTTACATAGGATGGGGTGGTCGCTTACATAGGATGGGGTGGTCGCTTACATAGGATGGGGTGGTCGCTTACATAGGATGGGGTGGTCGCTTACATAGGATGGGGTGGTCGCTTACATAGGATGGGGTGGTCGCTTACATAGGATGGGGTGGTCGCGTACACAGGATGGGGTGGTGGCTTACATAGGATGGGGTGGTGGCTTACATAGGATGGGGTGGTCGCGTACACATGATGGGGTGGTGGCTTACATAGGATGGGGTGGTGGCTTACATAGGATGGGGTGGTCGCGTACACATGATGGGGTGGTGGCTTACATAGGATGGGGTGGTCGCGCACACATGATGGGGTGGTCGCTTACATAGGATGTGGTGGTCGCTTACATAGGATGGGTGGTCGCTTACATAGGATGGGTGGTCCCTTACATAGGATGGGGTGGTAGCTTACATTGGATGGGGTGGTCGCTTACATAGGATGAGATGATCGCTTACATAGGATGGGGTGGTTGCTTACATGACAGGGTGGTCGCTTACCCATGATGAAATGATTACTCTGACAGAGCAGGACAGAGGACTGGAAGCGTTGTCCCACGTGATCGGTCGTCAGAAGCAGATGGCGCTGGACATCGGCAATGAGGTGGACAGTCAAAATGGTAAGCCATTGTTTCAATGCTTGGTTACATTGTCTGAATGCTTGGTTACATTGGCTGAATGCTTGGTTACATTGACTGAATGCTTGGTTACATTGGCTGAATGCTTGGTTACATTGAATGATTGGTTACATTGGCTGAATGCCTGGTTACATTGACTGAATGCTTGGTTACATTGTCTGAATGCTTGGTTACATTGGCTGAATGCTTAGTTACATTGTCTGAATGTTTGGTTACATTGTCTGAATGCTTGGTTACATTGTCTGAATGTTTGGTTACATTGGCTGAATGTTTGGTTACATTGTCTGAATGCTTGGTTACATTGAATGCTTGGTTACATTGTCTGAATGCTTGGTTACATTGTCTGAATGTTTGGTTACATTGGCTGAATGCTTGGTTACATTGAATGCTTGGTTACATTGTCTGAATGCTTGGTTACATTGTCTGAATGTTTGGTTACATTGTCTGAATGTTTGGTTACATTGTCTGAATGCTTGGTTACATTGTCTGAATGTTTGGTTACATTGTCTGAATGTTTGGTTACATTGTCTGAATGTTTGGTTACATTGTCTGAATGCTTGGTTACATTGAATGCTTGGTTACATTGGCTGAATGTTTGGTTACATTGTCTGAATGCTTGGTTACATTGTCTGAATGCTTGGTTACATTGGCTGAATGCTTGGTTACATTGAATGAATGCTTGGTTACATTGTCTAAATGCTTGGTTACATTGAATGCTTGCTTACATTGGCCGAATGCTTGGTTACATTGTCTAAATGCTTGGTTACATTGAATGCTTGCTTACATTGGCCGAATGCTTGGTTACATTGGCTGAATGCTTGGTTACATTGGCTGAATGCTTGGTTACATTGGCTGAATGCTTGGTTACATTGGCTGAATGCTTGGTTACATTGTCTAAATGCTTGGTTACATTGTCTGAATGCTTGGTTACATGGTTACATTGTCTAAATGCTTGGTTACATTGGCTGAATGCTTGGTTACATTGTCTGAATGCCTGGTTACATTGAATGCTTGGTTACATTGAATGAATGCTTGGTTACATTGTCTGAATGCTTGGTTACATTGAATGCTTGGTTACATTGTCTGAATGCTTGGTTACATTGTCTGAATGCTTGGTTACATTGGCTGAATGCTTGGTTACATTGGCTGAATGCTTGGTTACATTGAATGCTTGGTTACATTGTCTGAATGCTTGGTTACATTGAATGCTTGGTTACATTGTCTGAATGCTTGGTTACATTGGCTGAATGCTTGGTTACATTGGCTGAATGCTTGGTTACATTGAATGTTTGGTTACATTGTCTGAATGCTTGGTTACATTGGCTGAATGCTTGGTTACATTGACTGAATGCTTGGTTACATTGAATGCTTGGTTACATTGAATGCTTGGTTACATTGAATGCTTGGTTACATTGAATGAATGCTTGGTTACATTGTCTGAATGCTTGGTTACATTGTCTGAATGCTTGGTTACATTGAATGATTGGTTACATTGTCTAAATGCTTGGTTACATTGTCTGAATGCTTGGTTACATTGTCTGAATGCTTGGTTACATTGAATGCTTGGTTACATTGTCTGAATGTTTGGTTACATTGTCTGAATGATTGGTTACATTGTCTAAATGCTTGGTTACATTGTCTGAATGCTTGGTTACATTGGCTGAATGCTTGGTTACATTGAATGCTTGGTTACATTGGCTGAATGTTTGGTTACATTGTCTGAATGCTTGGTTACATTGTCTGAATGTTTGGTTATATTGTCTGAATGTTTGGTTACATTGTCTAAATGCTTGGTTACATTGTCTGAATGCTTGGTTACATTGGCTGAATGCCTGGTTATATAGTTTGCAAGTTTTGGCTAGTGCAAGTTTTGGCTAGTGCAAGTTTTGGCTAGTGCAAGTTTTGGCTAGTGCAAGTTTTGGCTAGTGCAAGTTTTGGCCAGTGAGTTGTCTTCTCCTAATCTGTTGGACGCTGTAGACTGATGACAGGCTGCACGGTATTGGTTACCGGAAGTGACGACAGCCGCATCTACCCGTCTGTGAAAGACTAGCTCTGTAAGACAACATGGCGGCCAAGATGGCTGCCGTAGGAAAATAGTGCAAGTTAACCTGGGTGTTGTTCTAAGTGGAAGCTCCGATCTTAGACAAATATTGTCACCATCTCCGGTAGACATCTGCCTACCACGTACAGAACAAGCAGGGCAGGGGGGGATGCTGTCAAGGTGTATGTGTGTGGGGCCTGTGTGTGGATGTGTGGTGTGGGTGTGTGGGGCCTGTGTGTGGGTGTGGTGCATGTGTGTAGTGCTTTGTGTGGGTGTGTGGTGCCTGTGTGTGGGTGTGGTGCATGTGTGTAGTGCTTTGTGTGGGTGTGTGGTGCCTGTGTGTGGGTGTGTGGGGCCTGTGTGTGGGTGTGGTGCATGTGTGTAGTGCTTTGTGTGGGTGTGTGGTGCCTGTGTGTGGGTGTGTGGGGCCTGTGTGTGGGTGTGGTGCATGTGTGTAGTGCTTTGTGTGGGTGTGTGGTGCCTGTGTGTGGGTGTGGTGCATGTGTGTGGGTGTGTGGGGCCTGTGTGTGGGTGTGGTGCATGTGTGTAGTGCTTTGTGTGGGTGTGTGGTGCCTGTGTGTGGGTGTGTGGGGCCTGTGTGTGGGTGTGGTGCATGTGTGTAGTGCTTTGTGTGGGTGTGTGGTGCCTGTGTGTGGGTGTGTGGGGCCTGTGTGTGGGTGTGGTGCATGTGTGTAGTGCTTTGTGTGGGTGTGTGGTGCCTGTGTGTGGGTGTGTGGGGCCTGTGTGTGGGTGTGTGGGGCCTGTGTGTGGGTGTGGTGCATGTGTGTGGATGTGTGGTGCATGTGTGTGGGTGTGTGGTGCCTGTGTGTGGGTGTGGTGCATGTGTGTAGTGCTTTGTGTGGGTGTGTGGTGCCTGTGTGTGGGTGTGTGGGGCCTGTGTGTGGGTGTGGTGCATGTGTGTGGATGTGTGGTGCATGTGTGTGGGTGTGTGGTGCCTGTGTGTGGGTGTGGTGCATGTGTGTAGTGCTTTGTGTGTGGGTGTGGTGCATGTGTGTAGTGCTTTGTGTGGGTGTGGTGCCTGTGTGTGGGTGTGGTGCATGTGTGTGGGTGTGTGGTGCGTGTGTTTGTGTGTGGTGTCTGTGTGTGCGGTGCTTGTGTGTGTGTGTGTCTGGGGCCTGTGTGTGTGGGGCCTGTGTGTGTGGGGCTTGTGTGTGTGAGGTGTCTGTGTGTGTGGGGCTTGTGTGTGTGAGGTGTCTGTGTGTGTGGGGCTTGTGTGTGTGAGGTGTCTGTGTGTGAGTGTCTGTGTGTGAGGTGTCTGTGTGTGAGTGTCTGTGTGTGAGGTGTCTGTGTGTGGGTGTGTGGGGCTTGTGTGTGTGGGGCTTGTGTGTGTGGGGCTTGTGTGTGTGAGGTGTCTGTGTGTGAGGTGTCTGTGTGTGGGTGTGTGGGGCTTGTGTGTGTGGGGCTTGTGTGTGTGGGGCCTGTGTGTGTGTGGGTCCTGTGTGTGGGGCTTGTGTGTGTGATGTCTGTGTGTGTAAGATTTGTTTCAAGCAGTCATGTCATCTGTCATCTTGGTTACAGATCTACTGGACGATATCGGCGACCATATGGACACAACTGATACACTTTTACAACGAGAAACTCGGCACATTAGAATAGTTGACCGCAAGTCTGGGGCCTGCTGTAAGTAGCTTTCTTTTGGGGGTCATGTTGATACATCTGACAAGGTTGATAAATGCTAGTGGGTTAATGTTGATAATTGTGATCATGTTGATAAATGGTTGTTTTAGTGGGTTAATGTTGATAACTGTGAAAATGTTGATAAATGATGTAACGTTGATAATTGTGAAAATGTTGATAAATGTTTCAGGTTATTACATTGTAATAATGTTGCTGTTTGTGGCCATTATTGTCATTGTGGCCGTGCCTTACAAAGGAAAACCTTAAGAGGTTAGTATCTAGGGCTAGTGGCTACAGCTAGGGCTAGTGGCTACAGGTCAGTATCTAGGGCTAGTGGCTACAGGTCAGTATCTAGGGCTAGTGGCTACAGGTCAGTATCTAGGGCTAGTGGCTACAGGTCAGTATCTAGGGCTAGTGGCTACAGGTCAGTATCTAGGGCTAGTGGCTACAGGTCAGTATCTAGGGCTAGCGGCTACAGGTCAGTATCTAGGGCTAGTGGCTACAGGTCAGTATCTAGGGCTAGTGGCTACAGGTCAGTATCTAGGGCTAGTGGTTACAGGTCAGTATCTAGGGCTAGTGGTTACAGGTCAGTATCTAGGGCTAGTGGTTACAGGTCAGTATCTAGGGCTAGTGGCTACAGGTCAGTATCTAGGGCTAGTGGCTACAGGTCAGTATCTAGGGCTAGTGGCTACAGGTCAGTATCTAGGGCTAGTGGTTACAGGTCAGTATCTAGGGCTAGTGGCTACAGGTCAGTATCTAGGGCTAGTGGCTACAGGTCAGTATCTAGGGCTAGTGGCTACAGGTCAGTATCTAGGGCTAGTGGCTACAGGTCAGTATCTAGGGCTAGTGGCTACAGCTAGGGCTAGTGGCTACAGGTCAGTATCTAGGGCTAGTGGTTACAGGTCAGTATCTAGGGCTAGTGGCTACAGTCAGTATCTAGGGCTAGTGGCTACAGGTCAGTATCTAGGGCTAGCGGCTACAGGTCAGTATCTAGGGCTAGTGGCTACAGGTCAGTGTCTAGGGCTAGTGGCTACAGGTCAGTATCTAGGGCTAGTGGCTACAGGTCAGTATCTAGGGCTAGTGGCTACAGGTCAGTATCTAGGGCTAGTGGCTACAGCTAGGGCTAGTGGCTACAGCTAGGGCTAGTGGCTACAGGTCAGTATCTAGGGCTAGTGGTTACAGGTCAGTATCTAGGGCTAGTGGCTACAGCTTGGGCTAGTGGCTACAGCTAGGGCTAGTGGCTACAGCTAGGGCTAGTGGCTACAGGTCAGTATCTAGGGCTAGTGGCTACATGTCAGTATATAGGGCTAGTGGTTACAGGTCAGTATCTAGGGCTAGTGGCTACATGTCAGTATATAGGGCTAGTGGCTACAGGTCAGTATCTAGGGCTAGTGGCTACAGCTAGGGCTAGTGGCTACAGGTCAGTATCTAGGGCTAGTGGCTACAGGTCAGTATCTAGGGCTAGTGGCTACAGGTCAGTATCTAGGGCTAGTGGCTACCATGTTCACACAGTCGCTACCTTTCCTTCTCACATTATCAAAACAAGGATTTAACGAAACCTCTACCCAAATGTTCTGGCATATGTCCATTAAGTTCTGAGCTTAGTCACTGACCCACTACATAGCTCCTACTCCTACTACAGCAAGCCAACCCTTAACACAACCAGTCAACCCATCACTAACCTCACCAACACAACCAGTCAACCCATCACTTACCTCACCAACACAACCAGTCAAGCCATCACTAACATCACCAACCCCTAACACAACCAGTCAACCCATCACTAACCTCACCAACACAACCAGTCAACCCATCACTAACATCACCAACACAACCAGTCAACCCATCACTTACCTCACCAACACAACCAGTCAACCCATCACTAACATCACCAACCCCTAACACAACCAGTCAACCCATCACTAACCTCACCAACACAACCAGTCAAGCCATTACTAGCCTAAGCTAAGCAGTCAATGCTATAAATAGACTCTACTTGTGTTTTAAATTGTGTGAACATCCATAAACCCCCACTTGTGTGGAGATATCCCAAATTCATCCTCCCCCCTCCTTACCCCCAAGTGCTGCCTCCCCCCCCCCCCGCCCCCAGGTGCCGCCCCCCTCCCTCTGGTGCTGCCCCTGATAGCCCCCAGATTGGCTGTTAGATTGAGCCAATTTATGGCCCTGATCTGGTGCTTTGATCCTGCCCCCATTAGTCAAATGTGGAGGCTTTCAAAGAAAAGTTCCTATCAGACAGATCTTATCTCCCCTACAATTTATTAGCCAGGTTTGTAATAGACAAGGTGTTGATGTTTTTTTTTGTTACTTAACGGGAGGGGGTGGGGGTGGGCTGGACCCTTGAACGAAACTGTACACCTCTGTCTGAGTTAAAATTACCTTGTATTCTCTCTCTACTCCCTCTATGTATGTCTGTCTGTGTGTCACCACATACACGTAATACTTCCACAGAAATCCTCACCATTTCACCAAGCTGACATGTGTCATGTCAACTGTCATGTCATCTGTTATGATGTCATTATGAGAACTGTGATGAAGAGATGCTGTTATCCGCAATTAATAGCTTCTGCTAAGAATTGGACAACTTATTATTGTACTAATTATTACAACTGATATGTTTTGATTAAAAGAGCAAGTTTTGTTATCTTGCATGTCTTCTTGTTGTTTTTACCTTCTCGTTGACGGAAGTATTGTAAACATGTTTGGACACCACGTTTAACACCTCCCTCAGTCACTCAAACTTTTAGAAATATATAAATAATCCCGTAACCACAGCCAGATGCCTACATACAGTGTTTTTAAGGCACCACTTCGGTGCATCACTTGGTCGTCGTTGAAGTCCATCTAGGAACTCATGAGCCGGTGACCTCACTAGAGTGACATACGCCCAGTCATGACGTGTTAGCATCAGTTGCTTGATTTTGGTGCTGCCCTCAGCTGTCGAGGGTTCAAACTCAGGACTTTTCGGTTTAGCAACCATGAGCTCATGGGACGGAGTGGTCTAGCGGTAGAGAGCTGGACTGCTAACCCGTATGTCTCGAGTTCAAATCCGGGTTCAAGTCAGTAGACCGTCCCTGAGGCCACCCAACTCTGATGGGTACCTAACTCACGTTAGGGAAAGTAAAGGCGGCTGGGCATAGTGCTGACCACACTATCTCTTCATATGCCGAGGTCACAGAAACAAGTGAACTCTACTTCACTTGCCCCATAGACCGTCAGGTTTGAAAGGGAAACTTTACTTTTTTACTTTTAACCATGAGCTCTACCTACCTTACCTTACACCACACCACACACATTACATCACACCACTCACCACACCACTCACTACATCACATCACACACCACACACTACCCCACACACCATACACTACACCACACACTATACCCCACACACTATACCCCACACACTACCCCACACACTGTACACCACACACTACACTACACCACACACTACACAATCCACCAACATAGACTAGGTTTGGTACTACACCACACACTTTACCCCACACACTATACACCACACACTACACCCCACACACTACACCACACCACACACTACACAATCCACCAACATAGACTAGGTTTGGTACTACACCACCCACGAATTTTGTTGAACCTTCGATGCCGGTGGCTTCACGTTGCTGCTGGGAAAACAAAACTTTGTTTTTTAACCCTTGATGTCAACAGTTTTATCCACTCTTCATGTTTACAAAACTTTACAGCCCACCCCTTACCAAACTCACAAATACAATAACACCCACACACCTCTGAACCCTCCCCCCCACACACACACATAACCGTCAGACCCACCACACATACACACAAAATGGCAGACCAGTGCCTAGTGCCTACTATTGCCGCACTATAAAGTTCGTTATTTTTATTGGACTGGTAAGTGCCAGGTCAATTGTTTTTTTAATAGCCCCCCCCCCCCCCATGTACCAGTTTTTACCCATCAATTGACAAGTCGCCCCCCCCCCCCCCCAATCCGTATTTGGCTGATTCAGTATTTGACCAGTTTTGCTTCCAGCTATTTAACAGTGTTACCCTCTGTATTAGACCAGTATTAAACCATGAACCGATTTATCAAGAAGATTACAGTAAAATACCAGCCGATTTATTAAGACGACTACGGTAAATGCCTGGCAGTTTATTAAGAAGATTACGGTAAAATACCAGCCGATTTTATTAAGAAGATTACAGTAAAATACCAGCCGATTTATTAAGAAGATTACGGTAAAATATCAGCCGATTTATTAAGAAGATTACAGTAAAATACCAGCCGGTTAATTAAGAAGATTACGGTAAAATGCCTGCCGGTTTATTAAGAAATTTAAGGTAAAATGCCTGCCGGTTTATTAAGAAGATTACGGTAAAATGCCTGCCGGTTTATTAAGAAATTTACGGTAAAATGCCTACCGGTTTATTAAGAAGATCACGGTAAAATGCCTGCCGGTTTATTAAGAAGATTACGGTAAAATGCCTGCCGGTTTATTAAGAAGATTACGGTAAAATGCCTGCCGGCTTATTAAGAAGATTACGGTAAAATGCCTGTCGGTTTATAAAGAAGATTACGGTAAAATGCCTGCCGATTTATTAAGAAGATTACGGTAAAATGCCTGCCGGATTATTAAGAAGATTACGGTAAAATGCCTGCCGGTTTATTAAGAAGATCACTGTAAAATGCCTGCCGGTTTATTAAGAAGATTACGGTAAAATGCCTGCCGGTTTATAAAGAAGATTACGGTAAAATGCCTGCCGGTTTATTAAGAAGATTACGGTAAAATGCCTGCCGGATTATTAAGAAGATTACGGTAAAATGCCTGCCGGTTTATTAAGAAGATTACGGTAAAATGCCTGCCGGATTATTAAGAAGATTACGGTAAAATTCCTGCCGGTTTATTAAGACGATTACGGTAAAATGCCTGCCGGATTATTAAGAAGATTACGGTAAAATGCCTGCCGGTTTATTAAGAAGATCACTGTAAAATGCCTGCCGGATTATTAAGAAGATTACGGTAAAATGCATGCCGGAAACAACGCGTGAGTATTTTCTCAATCTTTGAGAGACTAGGGCAGACGAGAGTGACGGGACCGCATGTGTTGAACAATTCACTTTCCCCGTTGTTGTGTTGTTGCTCCATGTGTACAGTTGGGGGGGGGGGGGGGGGGGGGTTGGCCTCATTTGTGAGGTATCTCGCCGTCTGGCCGTATCCACACTTTTTAATCCACCGCCTGAAACGAAATTAAAAATCCATGTTTTGTCTTTGTTTATCTTCAAGTTAGCAATGTTATGGCTATTGAAAAAGCTCCAATCAACTGGAATGCCCCTCCCTTCCCCCCCCCCCCCCCCCCACCTTCCAGTTGCAAAACATTCGAGTCTTAGTGTCTTGACCAGTACAAATTATTTCAGAATACACGTCACCACAACACACATCACCACAACACACATCACCACAAAACACATCATCACAACACACATCATCACAACACACATCATCACCACAAAACACATCACCACAACACACATCAACACAACACACATCACCACAACACACATCATCACAACACACATCACCACAACACACATCATCACAACACACATCATCACCACAACACACATCATCACAACACACATCACCAAAAAACACATTACCACAACACACATCACCACAAAACACATCACCACAACACACATCACCACAACACACATCATCATCACAACACACATCACCACAACACACATCACAACAACACACATCATCACCACAACACACATCACCACAACACACATTATCATCACAACACACATCATCATCACAACACACATCATCACAAAACACATCATCACCACAAAACACATCACCACAAAACACATCACCACAACACACATCATCACAAAACACATCACAACAACACATAATCACAACACACATCATCACCAATACACACATCACCACAACACACATCGTCACCACAACACACATCACCACAACACACATCATCACCACAACACACATCACCACAACACACATCACCTCAAAACACATCACCACAACACACATCACCACAACACACGTCAACACAACACACATCACCACAAAACACATCACCACAACACACATCTTCACAAAACACATCACCATAACACACATCATCACAACACATATCATCACCAATACACACATCACCACAACACACATCACCACAACCCAAACACCACACACACATCACCACACACACACATCACCACAACACGCATCACCACAACACACATCATCACAAAACACATCATAACCACAACACACATCACATCACCACAACACATTATCACAACACACATCATCACAGCACACATCGTCACCACAACACACATCACCACAAAACACATCACCACCACAACACACATCACCACAACACACATCACATCACCACAACACGCATCACCACAACACACATCATCATCACAACACACATCATCACAACACACATCATCACCACAACACACATCACCACAAAACACATCATCACCACAACGCACATCACCACAACACACATCACATCACCACAACACGCATCACCACAAAACACATCATCACCACAACACACATCAACACAACACACATCACATCACCACAACACGCATCACCACAAAACACATCACCACAACACACATCTTCACAAAACACATCACCATAACACACATCATCACAACACATATCATCACCAATACACACATCACCACAACACACATCGTCACCACAACACACATCACCACAAAACACATCACCACAAAACACATCACCACAACACACATCACCACAACACACATCATCACCACAACACACATCATCATCACAACACACATCATCACAAAACACATCATCACCACAAAAAACATCACCACAACACACATCACCACAACACACATCACCACAACACACATCACCACAACACACATCATCATCACAACACACATCATCACAACACACATCACCACAACACACATCACCACAACACACATCACCACAACACATCATCACCACAAAACACATCACCACAAAACACATCACATCACCACAACACACATCACCACAACACACATCACCACAACCCAAACACCACACACACATCACCACACACACACATCACCACTACACGCATCACCACAACACACATCATCACAAAACACATCATAACCACAACACACATCACATCACCACAACACATTATCACAACACACATCATCACAACACACATCATCACCACAACACACATCACCACAAAACACATCATCACCACAACACACATCACCACAACACACATCACATCACCACAACACGCATCACCACAACACACATCATCATCACAACACACATCATCACAACACACATCATCACCACAACACACATCACCACAAAACACATCATCACCACAACACACATCACCACAAAACACATCACATCACCACAACACGCATCACCACAAAACACATCATCACCACAACACACATCACTACAACACACATCACATCACCACAACACGCATCACCACAACACACATCACCACAAAACACATCATCACCACAACACACATCACCACAAAACACATCATCACAACAAAACACATCATCACCACAACACACATCA